TAGTAGTAGTAGTAGTAGTAGTAGTAGTTGTTGTTGTTGTTGTAGTAATAGTAGTAGTAGCAATATCTGTAGGTGCAACAGTAGTAGTAGCAGTAGTAGTAGCAGCAGCAGCGGTGGTGGTAGTAGTAGTTTTGTTGTTGTAATAGCTGTAATAGTTATAATTGCTTAGTAGTGGTAGTAGTAGTAGTAGTAGTAGTAGTAGTAGTAGTAGTAGTAGTAGTAGTAGTAGTAGTAGTAGTAGTAGTAGTAGTAGTAGTAGTAGAAGTACTAGTAGTAGTAGTAGTAGCAGCAGCAGCAGCGGTGGTGGCAGTAGTAGTTTTGTTGTTGTAATAGCTGTAGTAGTTCTAATTGCTTAGTAGTGGTAGCTGTAGTAGTAGTAGTAGTAGTAGTAGTAGTAGTAGTAGTAGTAGTAGTAGTAGTAGTAGCAGCAGCAGCAGCAGCACTAGTATTCGTAGTAGTAGTAGTAGTAGTAGCAGCAGCAGCAGCAGCGGTGGTGGCAGTAGTAGTTTTGTTGTTGTAATAGCTGTAGTAGTTCTAATTGCTTAGTAGTGGTAGCTGTAGTAGTAGTAGTAGTAGTAGTAGTAGTAGTAGTAGTAGTAGTAGTAGTAGTAGTAGTAGTAGCATCAGCAGTAGTAGTAGCAGCAATAGTAACAGTAGCAACAGTATTACTAGTAGCAGCAGTAGCAGCAGCAGCAGCAGCAGCAGTACCACTACTACTACTAGTAGTGGTAGTAGTAGCAGCATCAGCAGCAGTAGTTGTAGTAGTAGCAGCAGCAACAGCAGTAGTAGCAATAGCATTAGTAGTAATAGTAGCAGTTGCAACATAATCACTAATAGCAGTAGTAGTAGTAGTAGTAGTAGTAGTAGTAGTAGTAGTAGTGGCAGCAGCAGCAGCAGTAGTAGCAGTAGTAGCAGTAGTAGTAGTATTAGTAGTAGTAGTTGTAGTAGCAGCAGTAGTTGTAGTAGTAGTAGCAGCAGTAGTAGTAGTAGTAGTAAAAGTAGTAGTAGCAGCAGCAGTAGTTTTAATAGTAGCAGCAGTTGTAGTAGTAGCAGCAGCTGCAGTAGTAGTCTAAGTAGCAGTAATAGTAGTATTAGTAGTAGTAGTGTTAGTAGTAGAAGTAGTAGCAATAGCAGTAGTAACAGCAGTAGTAGTAGCAGCAGTAGTAGCGGTAGAAGTCGTAGTAGTAGTGGTAGTAGTAGTAGTAGTAGCAGTAGCAGCAGCAGCGGTGGTGGTAGTAGTAGTTTTGTTGTTGAAATAGCTATGGTAGTTATAATTACGTAGTAGTGGTAACTGTAGTAGTAGTAGTAGTAGTAGTAGTAGTAGTAGTAGTAGTAGTAGTAGTAGTAGTAGTAGTAGTAGTAGCAGCAGTAGCAACATAATCACTAGTAGTAGTAGTAGTAGTAGTAGTAGTAGTAGTAGTGGAGTAGTAGCAGAACAGCAGCAGCAGCAGTAGTAGTTTTAGTAGTAGTAGTACCCGTCGGTTTCTAACTGAAAATAGACTGATTTACATTTAAAACATATGTGGGAAGGGAGGTAAAAAATGAAATGCATAACAGACTGGAATCCACGAGTGCTGGTCCCCTTCTTGTGCTATGCTCATTTAGCTGGTTTGCCTCGGAGCGTCGGGTGGCCTTTGGTGGGTTCTGTCGTTTTAATCTTTCTGAAAATACACTAAGAGAAATTTATGTTAGTTGGTTTGTTTTAGTCTGAGTAATTCGCCTGTGGTAGAGAAGGAGTGGAGATAGTATAGGTAGAATAGCAGGAATGCTTTTCAGAGGAGATACAGTGAGGTCGGAAGAGTGAGTGAGAGGTATAGTTGGCTATGTTGAGGGTGCTGGTACTCGCTGGATCTGGTCAGTCACATCATGATGAGGGGTGGCTCTCAGATCGCTTTCCCGGTTCTGGATCTGAACTGCTTCACGAGTCGCTGGACCTTGTCGTCGCAGCTTACACTGAGGCAGTTTTCAATTGTCATTTGTTGCCTTGTGGCTCCGAAGTGCAGCACGAGCTCTTGTCTCCCTATTTTGTGGTGTTTACAGGTTAGTAAGAAGTGCTCCATGGAGTTAGGGGTCCTAAATTCCTCGCACACAGGAGTGCGGAATCGGTCTGGCCAGCACCCTAGTCCAGTGTTGCCACTTTTCTTTGACAAAAAATATCCAAAACGGTGTCAAAAAATATCTTTAAAAATCTAAATCTGCGTGAAAAAGATCTAGAAAAAACATCCAAATTGAAAAAGTCAAAAATTACATAGCTTTTGTTATGACTTACCCTACATAATCATGTCCTCACCTTCACTGATGTCTGCCTCACAAGATCCACAGGATAAACTTAGCTTGGATAATGAAGTTGAAGCTTCAGATCCAAAATGACCCTGGTATGCTTTAGCTGTTCAAATTTCTTTATAAGTGGAACAGTAGGTTTATTTCTCTAGTCTCATCAGGCCGAATTTTAATGGCACGATAGCATTTAAGAGGTCAAATTTCATCCTGTTTTTTAGGTTAGATTTGATATAATTCCTAGCACTGAAAACTCTTTCTACGTCAGCATTTGAGTGGGGTAGTATCATGGCAGACATGGCACTTAGAGCTTACAGAATGGACTGTTTGATGAGGCATCTTTAAATTGTCTCACTTCACTCCACAACGCTTTAGTTTCTGTTTTGTTTGTACATTCAGCTAACTTTATTTTGGTTAACTGATATTCTACTTCCGCGACACTATTATCAGTAGCCCCTAAAAATTTCATAACTTTACAATATTTAGGTATGTCCTTTATTGGCTGAAGTATGTTGCTCACAGAAAAAAGTTAAATATTTTTCAAAACATCTAGATTTTCAGGAAGTCTCTGCTTAAATTGCATCAATAATGAGATAAGGAAATCTTGACAGCGTTTTCTTAAGTTGTTCTCTTCATTCTCTGTTAACAGTCCCTTTGTTTTTAAATCATCAATTTTTGATTCGATTTAATATCCAAGGTGTGGCTTAGGAGCCAAATAGCTCTCTAGTGAGCAAATCAGATTTTGAAGTTGGCAACACCAGTCTTTTACCGAGTGAAATAGCAAGGTGAGATCATCAAGTAATTTAACTTTATCAATAAGTTTAGATTCGAACAGTTTATTAACTTTTTGCACTTCCATTAGAATAGGTTATAAAAAGAGAATGAATGACATATTTTTTTTCATCACTGTACATTCCATATAGTATTTCAGCTGTGTAGCACTTTTCACTTTGTCTTGTTATTTCAAAGTGTGTCTTCAACTTCAGCCATTGCCTTATAATTCTTTCAACAGCTGGTTAAATTGATAACCATCTAGTTTTGCAATCTGACAGAATTTTTGGTGGTGTGGAACCATCATTCAAGGCTGTATATAATGTATTGTATTGCTGTTGTCTGACAAATGATTTGGAAAACCAGTAAAGTGTTTCAGCAATAAGGTATTCCAAATTCCTTGGTAAATATTTAGATGAAACATGAGATAATGCTAGCTGCAATGAATGAAGCATACATTTTATAAGTATTAACTATGGGTTAGCTTTCTTCAACTTGGCATAAATGCCATTGCTTATACCAACCATCACTGAGGCATTATCAGTACCAATTACAGCCAAATTCTTCAAGCCTAACTGTTTGCTGATTAAAAGGTCCTTCAGTTCCTAAACTATACTTTCTACACCACACTTTTCAAATTGAACTAGTCCAAGATTTTTTACAAATAGATCAAAAATGGTCACAGTTTGAAATTGCGCAGTGACAAATTAAAAACGCTGCGACTGATACTTCAACTTTTGATGATTCATTTATCAGTATAGTTCTAAAAACAGATGTCAGTGGTGTAATATCTTTAAATGAAACTGCAGTTTTATGCTTTTTTAGTCTCTGCATGACTCTTTGAGTTTTGTATTTTCGCTTTAATTTCACACTTGCAGTACTTACAAGCTTTGGTCATATCCCCAGTTTTTAATTTTGTCATCATGCAACCACTCTTTCCAAATTTTTTGCTCATACTTTCTTTTGGCATGTTGAAAGGTTTTTTCAAAGTGAAAGCCACATAAGAAGGTGAGCAATTATTTTTTTAAATCACATGAAAAAGAAACGCAAAGTCAGCACAGTGAGGATACGGTTGAAACAAAGTTAGTATGATTTACGCGCGTTTTTATTAATCGGGTCTGCCAGATATTTGTGCGTTGACCCCAGTGAGAGTTCAAAGTTCAAGTAATGGCAGTTTTCACAATGTACGTACCAGACCAAAACAAAAATATTGTAGTAAATATTTTACACAGTAATTATTAAATTTACAATGAAAGAAAAAAAATCTATAAAATATCTAACTCCATATGAAAAGGATGTAGAAAAATATTTACGATCTAAACGTCAAAAAAGTATCTAAATGCAATGAAAAAGATCTAAATTTTGATATAAAAAATCCAAAGTGGCAACACTGCCCTAGTCGCATCTTCCACAGTTTTCGAATGGCCAGAATTTTGGTCGGTTTTGTCACTTGATTCTTGAGACTGGGTTTGTTGAGCAGTCTATAGGCAGCTCTGCCTTTGTCGCTGGTCGACCACTGCTGGGACCATTCTCTGCATATTTTGCTTTTGATTATTGCTTTCAGTTCAGTTTTGCCCAGTCATTTGGTATAAAGGGCTAGACCTATGTTTTATAGACTAGTGGCACAAGACGGGTGATGTGATCAGCATCACTCTGACCGCCTTTACTTCCCAGGGTCCACCTTTGTACCCACTTAAGGCTGGGTCGACCTTGGAGCCAAGTTCATTTTTTTTAAAGTCAGGCTCGGCCAGGGTGCGATCCCAAGACCTTCTGCTACGCCACGGCGACTCTCAGAGGAGATGCATGGACATCATTGTTAATAAACCTGGCTTAAAAGCAAGAACGGCATTCTTGAAAAATCCTGGCGTGTTTAGTTATCGAGAATAGGTGGAGGTGAAGGTTTCGTGAAAGCATTGTCCTGACCTTGTTGTGTAGTAGCAGAGACATTCACGATGACAGCGAATCATGTTCGCTTTTTGGCCAAGACCGTTCTTGTTAGAGATAACAAAATCGAACCTGCCTACAGATTACTGGACGGGTAACGATGTGTTAATGTTTATAAACTGTACACCCAACTGCGTCCGTTTACGCCCGGTTTTCCTCCTCCAGTTCTTCTTGAAGTTCAATCCAATCAACCAATCTTTTTGAAGAAGAATTGTTCTTCTGATCTTTTCCATCGCCAGAAACAAGTGTTAGTACTGTTAGTGAGTGGGGATGTACGAATCTCTTGTATATTATATGCTCTTTCTAATTTAAGTTGGTCTTATTTCATATGATATATTTTGTTTTCCGATGTTGTTCTTTCTTGATTGATGCTGCTGTCATTCAATCATTCTGTCTTAATCTTATGAATGGGTTTTTGCTTGCTGTTTCGACATGTCTGCACACATCCATTAATTTATGCCATTATATAAATAATATTTTATGTAAATTATAGGCTTGTCCTGATTTTTCCCTGGGGGAGGGGGGGGGGGTGCTTGTACTACACACCACAAAGTGTCATCAAGTGGATTCCAGGGACCAATTGTGTTTTGGGGGGGGGGGGGGGGGAGTGAGAATAGACCAACTTCTTTCCTAACAACCATGTTCTAAGAGTTAACTCATTTAAATTATGGATTTCCATCAAAGTCTGTGCATCTGCCTGAGAGACAAGTAGTCTGCATACATGATACAAATAAGCCAGATTTGTAAAATGGATATGATTTACGCACAACTAAAGTCTGGAACACCATTAATAGTCCATAAATTTACTAACAACAAGAATTTTCTTCCGGAATTTACAGCCAAGGAGTGTAATGAAGAAGACAACAAGTGATCTGGAAAATAAAGTGCTTGTCAATTGCAGTTTGTGATGAAAATATTTATTGACAGTAGGGAGTACTCCAGTGTCGCAGTGCCTAGTCATGAGCTGCCTATGCCACAGAAAGTGTCTACACACTATTATTTTTAAAGTAGCACTGAAGTAAAATCATGCTTTAAAAAAGGTGCCGATGCTGCTTACCATCATTAATCACTGCTTGTAAGGACCGAGTGGTCTCGAGGTATGGTGTCCGCCTCGAGTGATGAAGGTCAGGCTGGGATTTTTCATGTGGACTTCTAGTAATTTCTCCTATTCTCTGGGTAGTAAGACCAGACGCCTGTGTGTATTGTTGTGCACGTAAAAAAATCCTTTGGCAGTTGGAAATAAAAAGGGAGTAGCCTAACAGTGCTGCCCGGGCAACAATTTGAGATAAAAACCTACCCAAAATATTTCAGGATCCTCGCCAGTACTAATAAAGGGCTCTCCTTTAAATAATGGTCCCAAATTATCTACGCAGAAAGTTAACCCTAACAGAGCCTCATTACGTCCTGCCCTACAAACATTTAAAAGCTGTAACTCGGGAAATATAAGGAACGAAAAGTATGAGGAAAATGGGAGAATTCTACTACTTACCGATATTGAAATCCTTTATACGTGAAAATTGTGGCATGCTATCCTCTGAATGATGCTCCCAAAATGTTGAGGCCGGAAATGTACGCTGACCTGGGGTCAGTAACGTGTAAATTGTGAACTTCTTTTTTCTGGGACTACAGTGCCACCTCAGAGAGTATCCCCAACGCAGCTACGCGCGGCGCGGAAGGGACTAAACTAGGTGGCTAGGACTCAGGAGCAAATTCATTGGAGGAAGCCGCAGGAGCTGCAGTAGCTGCTGCTCTTGAGTCCTAGCCATCTACTTTAGCCCCTTCGGCGCCGCTATGCGTGGCGCGGAGGGATACTCTCGGAGGTGCCACTATAGTCGGCAAAAAGTGGTCCGCAAGTTACATATAACTCAGGCCCTGCCATAGGATAGCGCTATCGGCAGTATTCTTGCTTGCCGCTAATTTTTTTTCATCCATAGTTAATCCTAGTTTTGCCACCGTGTAATCGCCGTAAAAAAATATGTTGCGTTTCGCGAAAATGTCGTTGCAATTAATCCTACTTTTGACACAGTTGAATCGCTGCAGAAGAAATGCAAATTTTAGATATGAGTGAGGCTTTGTTTGGGTTTACTTTCTGCGTAAATCATTTGGGACCGTTATTTAAAGGAGAGCCTACTAGAGTTTGTGCACTGCGCTGAGATTCTTCAGACTCAGGCTTGAATTAGAAGTAGAACAGAGCACTTGTGGGTTACACCCATGTGCCATGATGTTGATCCGTTGAATAAAGATAAACTGAATTTTTGTCCATAGTGAAGGGTAGGCCCTTAACCGCCCATGTCAAGCAGCTCATTCAGTTGCTGTCAGCACTCAGTAACTCTGAGTGAAGGGTTCAAAATCAGCAAATTATAAAAGTCTCATTTGCTTGTGTCACAGACATCTGATTGACCTTGATGGTATATGGCTTGTTCGGTGGGCCTCTGACAGACAATCTAAACCTAGCCTACACTGAACCCGGATGCACACAGAGCACACATGACAGTCTTTAATGCAAATCACAGATTAACAAAAGGACAGTTGACTTCCTGCTGTATGGTTACCTGGAACCCTGACCGAGCGAGCTTTACATTCACTACACTCGCCAGTGCGTTCTCTCAGGCAAATCCCAGGTTCGCAAACCACACCTCTGTGTGATACATTCTTTTCCTTGTCACTGGACCTCGCCAGGATAGCAGAACTTCTGTCAGGTGCAGGGCCAGTGTGCCAAACCATATCACTATCCGATTCTACTGATCAGAATATACCCACACTACTTACGTATTACGAAACAACACAACACCTGTCGCTGTTAAACGCTACACAACACAAGGAAGCTATCCTACCATAACATAACACTTAACACAATCTGTGCGGTCACTATAGTATTCTAAGATTCTACATCTGTCCAACTGCACACGTCCATCCTGTCTCAAGTCTCCAAGTCGAATGTCGGTGGCCTCCCCCTCCCCCCCCCCCCCTCGTGACTTTTGTCAGGGTCATGCAGCAAACATGGCATGAAACCGTCAGAAATAGAGTTCACTCTTTCAGCACTTAATCCCGGTCACCACTGGGTCTCACTGAGCTGTAGTTCCCCCTAAGTATCAACAGCACATACTTGGACAGTCATGCCATCCACCGTGTTGTCAACTGTGGGTTGTGATTTTGTATTTTTCAATGAGGAATAACATGCTCGTACTTCTCGTTTCTCATTTTTGGATCCATCCATGTATGTTATCAGTTTCAATGTTTCTAATGTGCTCCTCTGCTGTGGTTCTTACCTGTAGTAGATCAGTGTTTTGTGCAATCTGTTTTGCCGTATCCCATGGTTTATATCTCTTAATTCAAGTGTTCTCGTTAGTTCCTTATTAGTTTTTTTTTTACATCAGCATCCCATGCTGCTGGCTTAAGATTATTACTTTTTGGCACACCCTTGAACTTGTTTGTATTGATGTTAAAAGCAACACTTGCTGGATGATCATGATTTTGTGTGGTCTGAAGCCAGCAATTGCTTCCTTCTCAGATTTAATGGTGCTGAACCAAGCGCTACTTCCATTGCTTCTCTTGATGCGCCCTTACTTGCACCAGTAATATGAGTAGTGCTTGGCACTGTATACTATTTAGATGTAAATAAACTTTGAATCTCACAGTACCTGTTGCACAGTCACCAATTTCATCTTGTCTCTGTCCGAGAACATCCAGTAATACATGCAGCAGGAGCTGATCAACCCTGAGCTTCATGAACTCAGGCGGGCCCACCCTCCGAAAATGTCTAGGAGCTGGTGGGCCAAAACATTTGTTGACGAGGGATCATTCTACTGATGATTGGTAGACTCCTGCTGTACATGCTCCCCTGTGGAGTTTCTTCTTATTCTTAGTTTATTTTTGTATGTAATCAGTTGTTGAGTCATAGACAATGCTTCCATATTCTAGTTTCTCTCTCAGGAAAGCTTCAAAAAATTGTCAGAGAGTGGCTTGATTTGCTCCCCATGCATTGCCTTTGTTTATCCTTAAAAAGTTGCCTATTCTTTTACATTTGTCTACCGCTGTATCAATATGTTTGCCCCAATTCAGCTGTTTGTCCAGAATCATTCTTACAAACCGTGTGCTCGTTACTCTTTGGATTGGTCTTCCACTGATTATAATTGTTACAGTATCACTGTCATAGTAGTGTTGTCTTTTGTAATAGTAGCAACTTCTGTCGCTGGGTCATAATGAGAGTGACATTTTACAGACAACCTTACATGTTGTTTTATATTGTTTTTGTTTATCTGCAGTCTTTCTTTTGGCTTTTTATTAATAAATGTTTGTGTCTAGTTCTTGTCTGCCTGCAAACTATTATCCAATGAATTTGTTTTTAAATCATCCAGTTTTGTTTGAAAGTTTTAGTTTGATTTGAAAATGTCCAGTCTAAAGTGAAAGGGAGTTGTGTGTCTTTATATGTAAGTATTTGTGTACATTGCTTTGTTTGGCTTATGACTTAATTACTTGTTTTCATCAATACAGAATTTTAAAAAGAGAAGGATTCTTTTCCGACGTGAAGAGAAAAGAAAGATATGAAAAGCCATTCCTCAAGCGAAATCGACTTGCTTACGAGAGATGTAGGAGAATCTATGACGCTGAAATGCAGCGGAAGATAGAATTTGTCATGAGAAAGAACAGACCAGACCCTTTCTTAAGATAATGATGTCCGAGAAGACTTATGTTATTGTACTGTTCAACGAGTTGACATGAAAATGTGTGAATATAGTTTTATCATCTGGGGTGACTTTTGTATGTCTTGTGTTTACTATAGTAAGTAAGTAAAGGATTCTTTGCTAGTGATTTTGCCTGGGTAGATTTGGAATACAGTTTCACTGTTTGAAAACTCTATAGTCAGCATCTGTGGCTTTGGCATGGTGAAGGCACTTGCTTATTCTGTTTGGCAGCAGACTGCTTCATTTTGATTTTAACAGTGGTATGGAATACTGACCATTCAGAAAACAATGGCAAACTATTGAATGTAAAATTACTTAGAAAACTAAACAGTCAGAATTTGCTCTCGTTGATTCCGCAGTCCTGTAAAGGATCCACATCTAAAAAAGAAGAATTATATGGGAAAAAATCCACAACAGTTTTGTACTGATACAAGCTGAATATTTTTTTTTTAATACTGTATTACAAATGAATGTTTTTCATATGTGGATATGCATCTGTTTTAGTGCTAACAATTTGCATTCATTTCAAAAGTTTCAGTTGTCTGTTTTTCAGAGTTTGATCTGTATGCTGATAATAAATTAGATTCATCAGTTTAAGAAAACCAGGGTTAATTTTTGTTTTAAAATAATTGTTTCTTTCTTAGATCCTAGAATTTAAATGAAAACTAAGAATTTTGATGGAGTAAATTTGTGTCATATAAATGTATTCAGTATGCAGAAAGTCTCAAAAAATATGTATGCAAATTTTTACTGATCTAAAATAAATATGTCAGAGATAAGTTACACAATCTGGAAGTATGTGAGCATTTGGAAAGAGAATGCACCAAATTACTAATTCAAATAATAATGTTCATATAATAATGTGCTTTCTGTTATCAGTTATGCCTGAAATAGAAAGATAATTGGTTCAAATACCCATGATAAATTATATTTACAGCTCAGTCTGTCTGAGATATCAGTGGTGCCTGGAAAAGAAAGGTCATTTCAAAAACCTGTCATAAATGTAATGGGTTCCACTCAGTCTGTCTGAGATATCAGTGGTGCCCAGAATAGAAAGGTCATTTCAAAAACTTGTCATAAATGTCATGTGTTCCACTCAGTCTGTCTGAAATATCAGTGGTGCCCAGAATAGAAAGGTCATTTCAAAAACTTGTCATAAATGTAATGTGTTCCACTCAGTCTGTCTGAGATATCAGTGGTGCCCAGAATAGAAAGGTCAATTCAAAAACTTGTCATAAATGTAATGTGTTCCACTCAGTCTGTCTGAAATATCAGTGGTGCCCAGAATAGAAAGGTCATTTCAAAAACTTGTCATAAATGTAATGTGTTCAACTCAGTCTGTCTGAGATATCAGTGGTGCCCAGAATAGAAAGGTCATTTCAAAAACTTGTCATAAATGTAATGTGTTCCACTCAGTCTGTCTGAGATATCAGTGGTGCCCAGAATAGAAAGGTCATTTCAAAAACCTGTCAGATTATTTGATACCCTTGTAATAAATCTGATATCACAGCTCAGTCTCTGTGAGTTATCAGTGGTGTCTGGAATAGACAGATTATTTCAGATCCCTGTCATTAATCTAATATGCACAACTTGGTCTATGTGCTATGGCTGAGTGAAAATAGGGTTTGTCATTTTAAACACTTGTAGTAAACTGTCGAAAATTTGACATTTCTTCAATTTGAATTATAAAACTTGATTATATGTTATAAAACATGTATTGTATTTTAAATCAATGAAAATGTCATGGGGACATCTTATACACTATTCAGAGGTACAGTTTACCCCACCCCCGCCCAAAATAAAATGCATAGACACTTCACCAGATATAATTTTTGGACTTTGTTTTAAAGTTAGACCTCTCTTCTTCCATCTTCTGTCAGAAAATGTATACCACATAGTCTTGATGACACTATCAAGCAGGTCATATCTTCCTGTACACTATACAGCTTTGTCTTCATTGAGGTTTGGACAGTCCAGATTGCTTCTCTGTCAGCAGCACATAATCCCTGTCAACAGCACAGTACACAGTCTCTGTCAGCAGCACATAATCCCTGTCACCAGCACAGTACACAGTCTCTGTTAGCAGCACATAATCCCTGTCAACAGCACAGCACACAGTCTCTGTCAGCAGCACATAATCCCTGTCAACAGCACAGCACACAGTCTCTGTCAGCAGCACATAATCCCTGTCAACAGCACAGTACAGTCTCTGTCAGCAGTACACAGTCTCTGTCAGCAGCACATAATCCCTGTCAACAGCACAGTACAGTCTCTGTCAGCAGCACATAATCCCTGTCAACAGCACAGTACAGTCTCTGTCAGCAGCACATAATCCCTGTCAACAGCACAGTACAGTCTCTGTCAGCAGCACATAATCCATGTCAACAGCACAGTACACAGTCTCTGTCAGCAGCACACAATCCCTGTCAACAGCACAGTACAGTCTCTGTCAGCAGCACATAATCCCTGTCAACAGCACAGTACACAGTCTCTGACAGCAGCACATAATCCCTGTCACCAGCACAGTACACAGTCTCTGTCAGCAGCACATAATCCCTGTCAACAGTACATAATCTCTATCAGCAGCAGATAATCTCTGTCAGCAGTACATAATCTCTGTCAGCAGTACACAATCTCTGTCAGCAGTACATAATCTCTGTCAGCAGTACACAATCTCTGTCAACAGTACACAATCTCTGTCAGCAGTACATAATCTCTGTCAGCAGCAGACAATCTTCTTCTTTTTTCGTTCACATGAAATAAATTATCTATATCTGCAATGCTGTCTCTAGTATGAATTTCACTGTCTTTTGTAATTCACTAAGTGGCCCGTAAAGTTTGACTTCCACAAGTGTCTCTTTTGGCCAGAAGTTTTGCCTGGAAGCATTGAATCTGGGACAGTCTTGGAGGATGTGATCTGTTGTCTCAGGTACACATGGCTGATTGGCCAATCTTAAATTTGTTGTACATGTGGCAGCGAAGTCGATTGTGCCCTGTTCTAAGGCTAAGGATAATGACTTGCTCTGGTCTGTCCATAATATGGTAATGGTCTTATGCCAGTTTCGGTGGCAATCTGATTGATTTGATCATCTTCTTCTGTTGATAAGAGACTGGTATGTCGGGTTCTTCAGTTGCACCTTCCTTAGCTAGTTTATCAGCTCTTTCGTTTCCGGGAACTCCACAGTGGGAAGGTATCCATTGCATTGCTAATTTACAGCGGTTGCCTAGTTCGGATAATAGTGTCCGTATGCTTGGTAATTTTCCAGACTGGAGTGCCTGAAGTACCACTTTTGCATCTGTCAGGAATACAACTAGTTGTGAAAAATACCCTGTATTTAGCAGTTTCAGCAGACAAACAATAGAATTGATCTGGAACACCAAAGACTGAGATCTGTGGCGATGCATGAACACCTACACCAGCTGGCAAGGCACTTGATGATGATGCAGTACCGACTGACAGTCAGTCACTATACATCCTCTGGTAACTATTCTCTGATATTCACTTCACAGCTGCAGTGATTGCCTCCACCTCCATTCTCATGCTTGAAGTTGTAGATTTAAAAAAAAACACCACCATTTTGTTCTGCCACAATCATTCCCATCACTCTAGCCTAAATCATAGAATAGTGACATTGTATACTTGGCCATGCATGTTGAAGAAGATGACTGGCTACTTCATTCAATAGAAAACTTGCTGAATACTCAAACCAATTATGAACATGTCAGAAGAAAACAAGCTACATATATCACTCGCTTATCACAAAGAAACCAACGATATTAAGGATTAGTATATCCTTAGTTTTAGCTGTAGCTTCTGTGCTGTACTCTTTACAAGATGTGCCTCATTACTTTTTATTTTTCTCCTTTATCCCCCTATGGAGCATAGGCCTGTAAACCAACTTGCGCTAAGTCATTATATTTGGCTATCACCTACAGCTCATCTCATGTCCTCCCTATCTTTTTAACTTACTCTGTAGCACCTTTTTCTGTGTGTGTGCCTTTATGTCTATGTCCCTGCGGGTTCCAGTAAATAAACATTCTAGTCATTACTGCATTTTGTGAACTGATACCTCGGCATCGATTATGTTAAAGAATAGGAAGGGATGTAACCAGACTACTATCTCAAATTCTGCAGCTATCTCCCTTATTCCCCAAATACTTCACTGCTTTAAAAGAAGTGTCTGCCAGCTTAAATCGCCCCTGAGACAAATTGTGAATTACCAGCCTGGGCCTTGGCCAAATAAAAAAAAATATCTATTACGTATATAATCATAACAGCCAGAGTTCCTCGTAACACGATATTTTCAGATTTCATTCTAAGAATTATAAAAGGGGGGGGGGGGGGGTGGGGGGGGGGGGGGGGGGGGGGGGGGGGTGGCTGATCTACACACCCTAAGATTTATATGGGGGAAAGGGGGGGGGGGGCTGATCTACCCACCCTAAGATTTATATGGGGGAAAGGGGGGGGGGGTGGCTGATCTACACACCCTAAGATTTATATGGGGGAAAGGGGGGGGGTGATCTACCCACCCTAAGATTTATATGGGGGAAAGGGGGGGGGGGCTGATCTACACCCCCTACGATTTATAAGGGTTAAAGGGGGGGGGCTGATCTACCCGCCCTACGATTTATATGGGGGAAGGGGGGGGGCTGATCTACCCGCCCTACGATTTATAAGGGGGGGGCTGATCTACCCACCCTAAGATTTATATGGGTGGGGGGTCGATCTACCCACCCTAAGATTTATATGGGGGGAGGGGGCTGATCTACCCACCCTAAGATTTATATGGGGGGAGGGGGTTGATCTACCAACCCTAAGATTTATATGGGGGGAGGGGGTTGATCTACCAACCCTAAGATTTATATGGGGGGAGGGGGTTGATCTACCAACCCTAAGATTTATATGGGGGGGAGGGGGTTGATCTACCAACCCTAAGATTTATATGGGGGAGGGGGCTGATCTACCAACCCTAAGATTTATATGGGG